TATTAACTTTAACATGAGTTAGTCACACAACAAATATATCAAAAAGGGTAACTTTTCTTTTTTTAAATTAGAAAAGTACTTATTGTATGCTATAAAAGTTCTTTTAAAAAGGTATCTTTAATCTGGATCTTCTTTAAGGCTATTAATTGTTACCCTGTCCTCAAATTGCCATATGAGTGTATTCCACTTAGCTGGGTGCCATAATATGACCAGGAAAAATGAAGAACAAGTGATTAAGTAATATTTGGGACTTCCTTTATGGAGCAAAAACACACTCCTTGTTCGTAAAGAAGTCCATATAGATCTTAATCACTGTGCATTTGTAGGGAAGAAGTCCTAATCAAAGAAGAAGAAATGAAGCATACAGAAATGGGAGCACATTTTGGAAACTTTTAATCTCATGGAAAAATAAGCAATAAATTGTTTGCTACTTCAACATTGTAGCTAATAGCAGGCAGCTTTTAAACTCATACATAGAATACAAACATGCACACCTTTGGTTTTATTTTTTCATGAGTTATTTATTCTTTAATTCTCCTGAAAAAAAGACAAGAACAGTTTTTATTGTTAGAGAATCTTCTCTCTCCTGTGTGATATTTATCATCTGTAGAACCGACTTCATTTTGCGGAGTGAATTGGTATCTCATCTTTTAAACTGTATTGTGACTTATATAGCAAGATCAGTGAAATGTGGTGTAATGCCACTCATAGAAGTCATAAAATTTCACTTCAATTTGATCTAAATAGCAAAGCATTTTGTAATAACTCCCTTTTTCTCATTTAAAGAACCAAAAATAATTTAGCAAGGAATCAGGAAAAAAAGATTAAAAATATGAAGGTCATAGCGAAAATTTATATGTCTGCCTTTATTCACAGAAATACATCTTCGACTTGATAGTTATTGCACACTCTAATTTTTCATATCCATAGACGATGAAACTCCACAGAAAATCGAACACTGGTAAAAACAAATACTTCAACATTCATTGAAATGATGCTACTTGGAGGAAGGAGGCAAGTAAAAACCAAAAGCAGAAAGAGAAAATTCTGAAATTTAGCCTATATATATATGGGCTATGACTAAATGATTTTAAATGTCCTTCACAAACAATAGTACATCAATTGATTCTATCTGGAGGAATTCAGTAAATGAGAGGGGTGAATATTCCAGAATTACAGGACACAGTCCAATTTAATCTTGGATGATACAATCTATTTCCACTTAAAAAAAAAAAAGCCCCTTTTTCCTTTTTCCTTGACAGCTTCTATTAACTTTTAAAATTCAAAGGTGATGTCATTACCATCTATTAATTTACAGGGCGGAGGAGACTGATATATTATGAACTGTCTATTTTGGAAGATGTACATAAAAATTTGTCATTTGATTTATAATTGAAAGCTCAGTTTAAGGATTCTGTTCTGTTTTAAAGATGGCTGCCCCATTCGTGATTGCTATACACTAAGTCAAAGTTACTCTGCAGACTATATGAAGTTGCTATGGGATCTTTGCTGTCATCTATATGCCACACATATTTTACCTAATGGAAGTGGGTCATGATAAAGAAATGATACGATTTTAATTTTGTATTGCACACATACCTCTGCTGTTACACAATGTTGGAAGAATGAGCATCTCTTCCACCTGTTTCTGTCAATGGCTAAAAGGCACTATATGATTATGTAGGAAGAAGTAGTTACATTTTTCATTTCAAGAAGGGATCACCTATGTCAGATAATCTGTGGTTTTAAGGCAGACTTAGATCAGCTTCCCTCTTGACTTGTGCAAGGCAAAATAAAGAATTGGAAAGTAGAAAGCTTTTTAATTTTTTTTTAATTGAGGGAACATTGTAATTTAGAGGTATAGGAATTCTTTTTCAGGTATTGTTACCATACAACGCTCACCGATATAACACCCATAGTCCTTCACCAGAGTGCACTGTACTCCATTTCTACTTTAATCTCAGCCTTCCCCTCTCCCCCACTGGTAGTCTCAGTTTTACAGCCAGATTTCTAGAATTTGTTATTGGCTTGGATTTATTTACTCTTTGTTTTGTTTCTCTGGATTGAGTGACACTATATTGTATTTGTCTTTCTCCTTCTGATTTATTTCACTTAGCATAATTCCCTCCAGTTCCATCCAAGTTGTCAAAAACAGCAAGAGTTTATCTTTTTCATAGCTGGGTAATATTCTATTGTGTATATATACACCATATCTTCCTGATAGTAAAGTAGAAACTTTTAATGTGGTCTCCACTATACACTTTGCAACTTGCTTGTCTTACCCATCTGCCTGGCAATTACACTGTGTCCTTTAAGTATTCTATATCCCTCACCACAATCTCTGCATGTTATACTACAAACAAAAACTCACAATCAATTTATATCCCAGAAATTGTTCATATTTCTTATTCTACTCAAAAACAGAGTTCCATATTCTCTTTAGAAGACCCTTGTTTCTTAAAACAAAAAAAAAAACAAAAAAAAAACTTGACTTATTTGGTTCCCCTATATTCCTGCTATAAGTGAAACCATCCAATATTTTTTCTTTTCCTTCTGACTTATTTCACTGCACATAATTTCTTCTAGCTCTATCCATGTTGCTGTGAATGGCATGAGTTTATCTTTTTGATTGCTGCATAATATTCCATTGTGTATAGCCATCAGTGTAAAAAAATAATAACTGTGTTTGCTTTGACAGCACATATACTAAAACTGGAATGATACAGAGAAGATTATCATGGCCCCATGCAAGGATGACATGCAAATTCGTGAAGCCTTCCATATTTTTGAAAGAAAAAGAAAAAAACCAGATGGTCTCACTCATAGCAGGAATTTAGAAAACCTAAATAAGGGTCCAGGAAAAAGACTAAATATAATAAAGTAAAAAAAAATCAAAATCAACAAGCAACTATAAACCAGAGACACAATGGGGGGGGAGTGGGATCAAGGCAAAGGGGGTGGGAATTGTATGGGGACTGTAACCAAGATGAAAATGCATACGTTGTGCAAAAATGAAAAATGATGTAAAATATGTATAAAATTAAAAAAAATAATAACAGTATGAAACACAACAAAGCAAAACCAGACAATTATAAATCAGAGACATCCTGCAGGGGAGGAGGAGGGAGAGGGATCAGAGGGAGGGAGGGAGGAGTACAGGGGACTGAGATGATGGTGCATGGGTGCATTGGCGAAGGAAATTCTATGGGGACTACACCTGAGGGGGTGGGGGAAAGCAAATATTGTTTAAAAAATGAGCAGTAATATAAAAAATAAACAATTAAAAATAAGTTAAGACTATCTTACTAGGTATATTCTAATCATATGAGCTCTTAAACGCTGAGAACTTTATCGAGCTGAGAGTACAAGAGGAAGAAGAGCAAATGGTTGACTAAAACCATGAGAAGGGTTTTTGGTTCCAAGACAAAGGAAACTATGGAGAAGGAGGGTAGGAAGACTTCAGGAAAAAAAGTTCCCAAATGACAATTAACAAGGAAATGGTGTTCAATCCTACAATTGCAAGGAAATAAAATGTAACTAACAACCTAAATGAGACAGGAAATATTTTCTTCCATAGAATCTTCAGATAAGAACTCAACCAAAAAAAAAAAAAAAAAAAAAAAGAACTCAACCTAGCAGGTACCAGAATGTCAGTCTTGTGAGACCCTCAGCAGACTAAAAGTTGTGAATTGTCAGATTTCTGAGCTATGGAACTTATGAACTTATGCCACTTCAAGCCACTATATTTGTAATAAGTTCTTATGTGCAATACAAAAGTAAAACAAGAAGTAAATTAGATAAACTAATTTCCGCTAACTAATATGTTATCTGATAATTGTGTGATCGCTCTCAAAAACGGAATATCTAAATTTGAAATTCGTCTGATTATAAAGATACATTAATCAAACTCAAAAGAAAAGTGTCAAGGATGGTCTTGTGAATGTAACAAAAGTAAAATTTAGAGCAAAACTTATTAAAGGATATAGAGGGTCATTTTCTAGTGATATAGCTATAATCAATAATGAAGATATGACATTATTAAAATATATATCCTTATAGCAAACTCCTAGAGAATGAGACCATTTATATGGATTAGAAACTTTAGAATGTGGTTGGACTTTAAATCACATCAGATAGGCATTCAACTAGTCTACTTTTGATTGAGGTCAATCTTAATTTGAAGCAAACTGGGGGAGACAGTCGATGATTAGAAATTGAATCAACAATGAAAAAAGAATGACTACCTATAAATCAACATGCCCAATACTGTGATAACAGACATACCACAGCTAATTCACAATATATTTCAAATCATTTACACAATTCTCCTAAAATTGTAGAGGCTAACCAGAATCCCTGGAAAAGAATCTTCCTTCACACTACACACCAGATTACAGAGTGTTATGTTCTATTGATTTAATTGGCAGACATTTACATTGCTCTAGAAGTGATATGCATCTTTGTCCAACTCTAAGAATTTCAAAATGAGCAAAAAAATGAAAGTAAAATGCAATGACCATGCAAGAAGACATTGTTTTGAAACCTGGTAAAAATGGATAGTTTGGGATAATGGATTGTGGTGGTCAGGAGGTTCTTTCCTGTTTCTCCCTATCTTGTTAGTACAGTAGGTGGGCTTGTGAGTGTTAAACAACATATCAAAAATACTTATGCAGGCCTCCCTGGTGGTGCAAGGGGTTAAGCACCACACTATGAAGCAATCTGCAGCCTCTGCAGCACATGTTTGATCCCTGGCCAGCCAGGGGGAATCCCAAATGACGAAGCAGACCTCTCCTGTCTCGCCCGCTGCTCCCTTCAGCAGTGTATTTCAGTCAATCTGCCTGTTCTGCTCCCCACTCTGTCTCTGGTGGATCCTCTCACTCCCCACATCTCTGGTCTGTACCCCAGCTCTTGTATGCATAAATAAATAAATCTAAAAAAATACTTATGCCCATTTTAAACATGAGGCAAAAAAATTTTTTTTTCATAACATTCATAAGTTGTGTTTCAGAGTACAGGCTCAGAGGAGTGTTTGCTGTCCTCCATGTGACAAGGAAGAACAGCAAATAGTAAACTAAAACTCTGAGAAGGATTTGCCCATTGTTGGTTCCAAGACAAAGGAAACTAGAAGTTTGGAAGTAAAATATATTGCTCATGGTTAAATGAACATTCAGAAGCCAGAGGTGCTAAATTTTGTTGCAGTTCGGGACTCAAGTTTGAGTTACACAACAGCAAAAATCAGACTCCATCAATTTGCATTTTTAACACATTTTTGTTCCCCTAATCCTTAAATATCACCAAAAGCTCCATCCTTGGAAAGGAAAATTGAAGTTTTCCTGTTTTCTCCTTGCCAGTCGACTTGTGATAAAATATATTTATCTTTCTCCTTCTGGCTTGTTTCGCTTAGGATAATTCATTCCAGTTCCATCCATATTTCGAGAAATGGCTTGAATTAATCCTTTTTGATCACTAAGTAGTATTCTCTTGTGTATGCATTCCACATCTTGATTGACTCATCTGTTCTGAGGCAATTAGGTTGTATTTATATCTTGGCTACTGTAAATAGTGAAGCTACAAACATAGGAGTTCAGGTTTATTTTTGAATTAATGTTTTTGCGTTTTTTGGATAAATACTTAGGAGTGTAATTGCTGGGTTATATGGCAAATCCATTTTTACTCTTCTGAGGAGCCTCCACACTTCTTTCCACAGGGGCTGGACCAGTCTACATACCTCCGACAGTGTAAGGGGCCTCCTTTCTCTTCATATCCTCACCAGCACTTGCTGTTTCTGGTTTGTTTGTTCATTTCATTGGTTGCTTTTTATATGATCCCGACCTTACAAGTGTGAGATGGTGTCTCATTGTGATTTTTATTCGCATTTCTCTGATGTTAAGTGATGGTGAACATTTTACATGAACCTATTGGCCATCTGCATGTCTTCTTTGGAGAAGTAACTACTTCGCTCTTCTGCCCATTTATTTTATTGGGTTGTTTGTTTTCCTTTGGTTGATTTGTATGAGCTATTTGTACATCTTTGATATCTGTCCCTTGTCAGATGTGTTGTGTGGAAATATTTTCTCCCATTCAGTAGTGTGATTCTTCATTTTGGTTACTGTCTCTTAAACACAACAGAAGCTTTTTAGTTTAATGTAGCCCCAGTTGTTTATACTCCTCTTTTTTGCCCTTGCTGCCTGAGATGAATCTGTACAGATGTTTCTGAAGTTTATGTAATGGAGTGTTTTACCTATGATTCTATGTGTTTTGTGGTTTCATATCTTATGTTCATGTCTCTTATACTTTTTGAGTTGATTTTCATGCATACTGTGAGATAATGGTCAGTTTCATTCTTTTGCATGTGGCAGTACAGTTTTCCCAACACCATATATTAAAGAGGTTTCCCTTATTCCAGTGTATAGACTTCACTCCTTTGTCATAGATCACCTGTCCATAAATATATGGTTTACTTTCCGTGCTTTCAATTATGATTGACTGGTCTGTGTGTCTGATTTTGCTCCAGTACTGCGCTGTTTTAATTACTATGGCTTTATAATATAGTTTGAAGACTGGACGTATGATACCACCATTTTTTCCCGCTGTAGATAAGAGAGCTTTGACTCTTTGGGATCTTTTGTGGTTCCATATGAATTTCAGAAATTTTTGTTCTATTTCTTTAAAGAATGCCACTGGGATTTTCACAGGTATTGCATTGAATCTAAAAATTGTTCTGGGTAGCATGGCCATTTTGACAATGTTGATTCTTCCTATCTAAGAGTAGGGGATACATTTCCATTTATTTGTGCCATATCCTATTTTTATATTGTATAGTGTTTCTTGTATAGGTCTTCAACTCATTTGTTAGGTTTATTCCCAGGTATTTACTCTTTTGTTGATATTGTCAATGGGGTGGCTTTCTTAATTTCTTATTCTTCTAGCTCACTGTTTACATATAGGAAGGCAACTGTTTTTTACATGTTGATTTTGTCTCCTGCCACTTTGTTGAACGAGTTTATTTTTTTAAATTATTTTTTCTGTGGAGTTTTTGGGGTTCTCTAGTTATATTATCATATCTTATGCAAATAATGATAATTTTACTTATTTCCCAATTTATAGCTTTCTCTTATTTAATTGCTCTTGCTAGAAGTTTTAATATTATGGTAAATAGTAGTGGTGAGAGTGGAAATCCTTGTCTTGTTGTAGATCATAGTGGAAAAGCTTTCAGTTTTTCACCATTGAGAATAATGCTAGATGCGGTTTTGTCATATATGGCTTTTATTATGATAAGATGTGTTTCATTTTTTTCCCTAGTTTTTCAAAGGTTTCCATCATAAATGGATACTGAATCTTATCAAATACTTTCTTGGCATCTATTGATACAATCATGTGGTTTTAAATTTTCTTTTTCTTGACATGGCAAATTATGCTGACTTATTGTCAGATGTTAAACTATCCTCTGCTTCTTGGTATAAATGCAGTTGTTCATGATGTATAATCTTTTTAATGTACTGTTGATTTGGTTTGCTAAGATTTTATTGAGGATTTTTGCATGTGTTCACTAAGGAGATTTGTTGGTAATTTTCTTTTATTTGTGTTGTCTTTGTTTGGTTTTGATATTTGCATGATAAAATGTGTTTGGAAGTGCTTCTTTCTCAATATTTTGAATGAGTTTCAGCACTGGGTTAATGAGGAAAACAAAGAAGAAATAAAAAAAAATACCTTCAGACAAATGATAATGAGGATACAACCTTCCAGACTATATGGGATGCAGCAAAAGCCGAACAGAGAGGGACATAT